AATGACAAACTGAAACTATGAGAAGGCTTTCATTTCATGCTGGTGTAGAATAACTATGCCTACTTATTCCAGCTGTCTTTTAGTCGTGTCTATCAAATTCATGACACTGGCTACTTCTGTGTTTGCCAAGATAACTATGTAACCTTGTAAACTATGTAAGTTTTTTTTTAAGATGGATGTACAAAAGTTCTTAAAAACAGATGAGAATGTCCTCATAATACCTATTCCAATGAATAAGTTCTGCTGATTCTTCCTTTTGCTCACTTTAGGCTAGAATTGCTGATTTCTGTATCCCTTATCCTGAATCATCAAAGTAAATAATTCTATTAATTTGTTAAATTTGTTGGCTGTTTTCTAGGCGTTGAAATTGGAGGGTAGAGGTATACATATACCCAGTGCTTTAAAAAAAAAAAAAGGTGCCGGAACTCACACATGTCATACAATCTGCCTTGCTTATCCTACAAGGTTCCATCCAAAAAAGGTGTCGGAACTCTCTTCTGGGTGTTCTATGAAAAAAAAAGCGCTCACAACAATCCTGCCAATTAAATGAATTTGAAATGAAACATAAAGTCATTTAGTAAGCTCTATGATGAAGGTAGCCTTGAACATAGGACTCTACTATGCCATGCTTTCTTTAAAGAAACCAGTACATCAGCTCTTTAATCTCAGTGATTGAGGAATTTAGTCTGGACTATAATGCTGAGATAATTTTAAAAAAAAAATTGCCTGTTTTATCTTTCTCTTTTTCCCTAACCTGACTTACTCCAAACTTTCAACAAATGTTTCTGAAGCCTCTGAGAAAGTTCTATCTTAAGCTGGAATGAAAAAGAGTTGTCAGCTAGGATTGCCTTTTTCTTATAACAGACTAATACCACTACAACTGACTGGGAAAATGGAGCCAGAATATATTTATTTATATTTTATATTACATTTAATTACATTTCTTTTACTTAATACATACTGCCCACAATCCCCAAATGACTCTCAGTGGCTTACAATTAAAAATAAACTTAAAGAAAAATGCAACAGACCAGAAGAGCACAGTACAAAATTAAAAACAAAACCAAACTGAAAACAAACTCTACAATTCCTCTGGCTGCAAGGCCTGGGAAAACAACCATGTCTTCAAAGGTTTCCTGATTGGAGGAACCGCACTAAACTCTGGGGGAGAACATTCCACTGATCAGGAATTAGAACAAAGTAGATGTATTTCTATGTCCTGCAAGGTGAAATTCTTTAGTTTATGGGACCCAGAATACAGCTTCCCAACTGACCGAACCTGGACCTGGGGAGCATAGACAACAGGACAATCTGATGGTGATAACTTGATGTATAAGTAAGGTGACCAACTGTCCTCCTTTAGGGAGGACAGTCCTCCTTTTGTAAGTTCTGTCCTCCCTCAAAAAGTGTCCTCCTTCATATCCTCCTTTTCGATATTTGAAGACTAATCTGCAGGGCTTTTTTTCCCCCCTCATAGAACGCTCAGAATGGCGTTCCGGCACCTTTTTTTGATGTTTTTTTTTCAACTTTTGCATGAGCTGTGCTACTCCCATTATTGGCTTTTGAAAGCCAATAGGAATTGCTGCTGAGCGCGCCAAAACACCCGAGGGGCAAACTTTGCACATGCAAGTTGTCTGTATTATTGTTGCAATGAATAAAATATTTCTTTTATTTACAATATTTTTTTCTTCAATTTATTTGTGTCCTCCTTTTCATTGTAAAAAAGTTGGTCACCTTAGTATAAGATTCAAAAATAGTATAATTTTGAGGAAGGACCTTTTCTTTATTTCATTCTTATTTTTATATCTAAGAAATCACTCATAAAATGTGCAGTCAGCTGTGTAGTTTTTTCATGTATTAGAATATATTAGAATGGTCTCTTTCAAAAATAGAATGCTGCATTTCTGAATTTTTAGATATGTGGATTGATGTTAAAATGATAAACTAATATAGAAAAATTAGAAGCTTGAGGACGTTCTCAAGCTATATAAATAAAAGAGCTTTGCATAAATCTCCTATTTAATCACATCATTCACATCACATACTGTATGTTTGGCTGAAAAACTATAGTTTAGAATTAGGACTTCCCTGGTTTAGAAGTATTTATTAGTTAATATATATTTTGTTCTTCTAGGTACTGATGAAGGTTTGTCATCTAATAAAGATTAACTACATTAGTTTGAATATAATATGCATATAGAATATTTTCTATTTGTCTACCTGTCTGCTTGTCTATCTATCTATAACTGTAGCATACATCAAAGGAACACAACTTGTTTCACAGCAAGGGTCTCACTTGACTTTTGAATGCATGAAGCTAAACTCTTAAAGGTAGCAGGTTGAGTCAACCTTGGATCCTAGATTTGACTGGAATTAATTAACATTTACACTTTAATTACAATTAAATTAAATTACTTTCCACTCATGCATATAATAATTTTCTATTCTACCACATTAACAGCTGCAGTTTTGTACAAATTTGGAAATGTCTCTGGGAACTTTACTCCAGGATTTGGGCTACATCTGCTTGGGGCTTCATGTTTTGTTCCCCTGCTAAACATTACTGTTAAAATATGACATAAGACTACTTTTTCAATGACAATTTTGTAATAAAAAATCTTATCCATGAAAAGATATCCAGTAATCATCTGGAAAAGTTTTAATTTATTTTTGGGGATCACTTTACTGTGTGCTATTAGACTGACAGTAAATGGCTTATTATGCTGTAATGTGTTATAATCAAGAGCCTATTTAGAAAGGAATATATGCACCAGACAATTAAATACTGTGAATTTAGTGTATTTTTAAATACATTCCTATATAAAAGAGTAAAGATACATGGGAATAACTTTAAGAACTGGGGGTGGGATGGGGGTGGTAATATTGCCTGAGAAAGGGATAGATAAGAGAGGGCCTAGCCCATAGCTGTATAATGGGAAGAGCAAGACACCTTCCTAACTTCACAAGCTATAAAAGAGACAGTGGGACATTTGTACTGTCAGACACGCACATTTCTATTAATGTAGCCTTAACGTAAAGTAGAATTATCTCATTTGGTCATGTTTCCTGTCTGGTCTATCTGACAAAGGTAGACAAAAAGTCAATTTAAATGTAGTAGGCAAGATCCAGATTTTTGGTTACTTCATCATAATGGCATTTGATATAAAGATCTAGAAGGCTAATTCTTTATAACTTGCCCAAATCCTCCCACACTATTTCAGGGAACACTCCAGCTCTTCTTAATAGATAATTAGGAAATACAGAATATATATTATTTAAAAATTAAACTTCTGTTCCTCTGAATTTCACTGGGGGTATACTTATTGGTCTACAAACCAATAACAATAACAACTTACATAATACTTGCATACATATTAAAATATATAACCTAATAGCAAAATATTTTTCAGAAGAGTTCCATCTTCATCAGCTTCTAGAAAACTATTAAGAAAGCTGATTTAGCTTCAAGTAGAAGACTATTCCACAGAAGTGGAAAAACAGCACCAGTAGAGCCTCAGCCTCCTTTGCCTTATAAAATGGGGAACTCCCTAAAGGTTTTCCCGAGATGAATCCACTGATAGGAATAATTCTGATAGGAAAAGACAGTCCTATAGGTACCAAGATGCATAGCTATAAAGGGTTTTGTAGATTAAAACCAACACATTGAATTTCAGCTAGAAATCTATTTGTAAGTTAATGCATTAGCATGACACATGTGTAATGTGCTAATGGAAATAAATGTCACACCTGGGATTCTACTATATTTGAATAAAGAACCTATCTCAAGTTGTCCTGAGGCAAGCTGATAACTAGAGCATATTGACAGGAACGTTATTAAAAGTGAAAACTTTTCTGGAATGATGTAGTTGCCTATATAAAGAAAATGGCTTATGCAAAAGAGTTTCAATTGATTTCAAAACCAGTTAATCTTGATTTAACTCAAGAATCAGAAAGTATAATATTTCATGGTAATTCAGAAATAGATGATACATGTTTATGAAGAATCAGAACTACAGTATGTTTATTACATATAGATTTACTTTATATTGTTATTGGTTATCCTGGTGGCATATATTAATAATTTCAAAGCAAAATCAAGTAAGTCAGGAAACAGACAACAGTGAATTAAAATTGTCCAGTTTCCTCTTTTGAGAGTAATCTACAGTGTAATATATACCAGTGGCAGGTGGAAATATGCTGGATTCCAACACAGAGACCCCCAAAAAACACTTACATAAACCTAAACCTTGTCTTTATGCATTCCCACTACTTTCTTAATTAGTCACTATTCCAGGCTAAATAGATGGATTTATCTGAACAGAAGGCAGGAATACAGAGAATGTAAACAGGCAATCATAATCAATGGACACTTTGCTAGTTAAAGATAATGGGAAATAGTATCTCCTCTTCAAAGAGAAGTAATGCAAGAGGATATGAGAGGTTTAAAAACAGACTTGTTAACATTCTGAACTGTAATTCCTGCTTATTCAAAAACTGTCAGATATTTTCTATGACTGTTATTTCATTCTGTAAGTATGTCAAATTTTTTTTAAAAAAATAAAATAAAAAGTTTATGGTTATATGAAACACAAATAGGTAACTCCAAGCACCTTACAATATTCTTCTCCTTTAATTGTAATCTTCCAGTGTCCAATTTTTAAAATTTTATCTTATTTTTTAAAATATTCAAAAACAAAAGTAATATCTCATGGAAAACAAGGGAAATCTTACTTCAAATTTATCTGGACCCTTAGTATATTTGTAACTTTCTAAAAACAAAGTTTTAATTACCCCTTTGCTATTTATTCTCAATTCTTTTTAAGGTGATAAGCTTGTAGTTAACATTTTCTTTTGCTAAGGATTGAAAGAAACTTACCCAATGTGTCGAACTTGTTGATTCAAATATCTCTAATAGCTGAAAAACAGTTAACAAGCAGTTTCTGAAAGAGATTAGAAAATTGTATTCCAATATTACCAATTATATAATATTTTCTTTTCAGGTCCTCCTGGTAAACGAGGTAAACGAGGAAGAAGAGGAGAAACTGGTAAGTTTTTAAACATAAAAGTAATGCATTTTCTTTGGATAATATAAAAATATTGTTTCTGGTCTGTTTGCTAATAGATTAAGTTAATGATGTTTATTGGCTGCCTTTGTTAACTCAACAACTATATTCAATGAGGGATGAGAGATTATTAGAGAACACAAAAAGGATAATAAAACAGGACCACCTTGATCAACTTCTGCCCTATAGATAATTGAGGCTATAGCTTTTCAATCTTTTGTCACTTGCCATGGCAACTGATGCGCTTGAGAATAAAATTTCCAAGTACCTGGAAAGGGGTCTAGGCCAACTCACCTTGGGACAACTTGCTGCAGAAGAAATGGCGGAATTAAATCATTAAAGAAAGGATGAAAAGATGGGATAAAATGAAATGTGAATGACAAAAATTAAAATAATTTTTAAACTGTTTTAAATAATTGAATTGTTGAATTGTTCTGTGGTGAGTTGGCCAGTGGTGAGTTGGCTGCAGCGAGTTGTCCTATGGCAAATTCGTCGTGGCAAAATGGCCATGGCAAGTAGATAGCGACGAGTTGGTCACTGCAAGTTGGCCACAGAAAGTTCTCCCACTTCACCTAGAAAACACATATTCCATTTTTTTACAGACAAGATTCCCTCTTTGGCACAAGGAATGATTATTGTATGCATCCTTCTGCTGAGTCTTCATGCAAGGATTAATAAAAGAAAATCAGCATATTTTTATAGCCTAAAGGATATTGCTAACGTTGTCATACTTTGGTGCTTTGCTGTGCATTTATTTATTTGTATCCCACCTTTATTATTTTTGCAAATAACTCAAGGCAGCGAACATATCCAATAAATACATATTTCATATGTATTTATTTTTAGTAATTTTGATTATGTTGTGACTTTTATCAATTAAACCATTATAAATTAAGATAACTACAAAATCCAATATAGCAACCTTCTTTTGTAAATCTACAAAATATAGATAATCCATGACTTAGAACTATTCATTTAGTGACCATTCAAAGTTATAACTGTACTGAAAAAAGTGACTCACAGCTGGTCCTTACACTTACAACTGTCACAGGATCCCCACAGTTGCATTATCAAAATTCAAGCATATGGCAATGTATTTATGATGGTTACAGTGTCCTGGGGCCCTGTTATCACCATTTGCAATCTTCCTAGCTGGATTCTGACATGCAAAGTTAATTGAGGAAAGGGGATTACAGTGATTCACTTAACAACTATGGCAAAAAAGGGCGTGAAATCAGGTGTAATTCACTTAACAACCACCTCATCTAACAATGGAAATTCTTTTCCCAATTGTGATCATAAGTTCAGGAGTACCTGTATATCAATGAGTGAATGAAAGTCTGTAACTGAGTGTTTTGAGAATGGCATTGTCATGCTCCTGAAAAAATCTTTCAAGAGAAAGGAAAATTCAGTTTATGCTAATTTTATTCCTTAACTCTATTTGCATAGAATGTTATGTAGTTCAACAATAAAATAATCAACATAAAAGGTATAAAACACAACATAGAAATTAATTTATTCCTCATCATTGGATCAGAGGTGAAAAGAGCAGGAAAACATCATGCCTGTTGTGTCACATATGAATTAAAGTTTGGGGGTTTTAATAAGGGATTTCAATAAGATATCTTATGTGTTTAAATATATGACATTAATAAAGGAAACTAAATTGTTTTCTGTTAGGAAAAAATCCTGTGTATTAAATATATCTTTATATTAAGACCATTAAAATCAAGAAATTACTTTAGCTGATTAATATCACATTGTTAGCAAAAGTCTAGTTATATTAAAGTAAATTTCAATATCCACTGTTCTAAATGCCTTTTTGTAACATGAAGTCAAGAGAAAAAAGAAAAATTAATGAAAAGTTATTGATCTGATGGTTATCACTACCTCTTTTAATAAGACTAAAATAAATATTTTATGTTGTGTGACAGCCTCAAGAATAGTGTGTAAAAAATTAGGAAAATGTGCTAATATTGCTTCACGAAATATGGTATTTTAAGAGGGATCTTGCACAAGAGAAATAAAAAAGGAGAGGACATTTAAGAAGCATTTTTTGGCTCTTTTTCCATCTTGGCAAAAATAGATGGTAAAAATACAGATCCAACCAACTCTACCTTTATTCTAAAACTAAATGCTATGGAGAGAAATTAATATGAGCTTACTTGGGGGATGGATGGTAAAATATAAGGTTAATGTTACCTAAGAAGAATATAAATGTTAGGAGTATGACACTTCAAAATGATTTTAAAAAGGGGGTTAGGCCTTGCCTGACTTTTTTTCAGGCCTGAAAGTAGAATTTAAGGAATTCTACTTTAAGGAATTAATTCATTAATATTAATGTAACTCTTAAAACAGCCATACTGTTTTAATGAATAATGGAAAGGAACTACATTTATATAAAATCTGACGCATTATTTTCAATGCTGTATTGATGCTGTAAAATAATTTTAAATAATTAATAGTGATCATGTTTAGATATGAACAATGCTAATCTTCAAATAATATTAGTCTTTTAAAAGCTCACGAGTCTATATGTATTTCTTCTTTTCTTCTGTTTTCTTTTCACAGGACCTCCCGTAAGTACAACTGTTGTACTATTGGATCTTCTGTTTATCAAGATTAGGAAAAAAAGGTGTTTTCAATAATGGGTAAAAGTGACCAATATGTTAAAAGTACCAATTTCTGTCCAAAAAGCAGTCAGTTTTATTATTAACAATTTTTAAACTTCAACTCATTTGGGGGGGGCAAGGAGAAAAACACATTATTTTCAAATTTAATTTCAAAACTCGTGTGCATAAATATTTAATAGAGTATGCTAGATAGAGCAATGAGTGTTTTAATTTATTTTATAATAGCTCATTATAATGTTATAATAATTTGTTAAAAAAAAGAATGGAAGTGCTCAGCTGAAGCCTTATCCATCCAAAAGTCTGCATGATGATTTAATTTGTCTGATTTAAAGATGTAAATGTATATACTAATCAGAATGTGCTAAGTTTGTACATTAAGTAAAAATCGCATATTGATCTTTATCCTGGAAAAGGAATTGTCAGCAATGGTGCTAGGGATCAATCTCACAATATCTTCCATACCATGCACTCTTTCAATTTCATCCACCTATTTCATTCCTTTTTTGGACTGAATTAATAGTAAATCAGTAAAAACATTTTTTATCTTCTACAACTTTTACTGTACAATAAAATCTCAATTTAGGTGACCATTTGTGGGGTGTCTGCAAATTCTGAATTCATGCTATTTATGTCTGTCTATATCATTGACCATATTTAACAAATCAACCATAGATTTAAAGACCATTAGTCCATTAGCAAGAAATCAAGATTTAAAGATCATTAGGCCATTAAACAGAGATCACATCCAAAATCCATTTCACAATTATTTTACCAACAAGCAGAATTCACATATAACCTATTGCTAAAATTTGGTTGGTGAGTGTGGTGCAGGTGGGACAGGGTTGAGCGCCGCTTATTGGATGCCCCAGGCTCACATCCAACTGGCCGTCACTGCTAGTCAATGAAGGGCAAGAGGCCAATGAGCTGCAGCTGTTGCTGGGCACCTCCAGCCTCCTCATGCCCAAGGGGAGTGCCTAGTGGGGTGGGTCTGATGTGGCGGGGCCAGCCCCTCACCATCTCCACGGTGGCTCCATAGGACAGATCTAAACACATCATGGGCCACATCTGTCCCACAGGGCTTGAGTTTGACATGTCTACTTTAAAGCATGCTTGTCCAACCTTTTGGATTGCCCAGGCTGCATTGAATGAAGATGAATTCAATGTCTTGGGCTGCATATAAAACACACAAGATAGTCAATGTATATAAATAAAAAACTTCATTTGCTTTTTATATTTTTTATTAATCTGTAATATTACTAGTTATCCAGGCAACACATGGGCCATGGGTTGGTGTATTATTGGTGACTAGATAAAATTGCATTAAATTGTTATTAATAATAATAACAACAAACTACTTGCTAGAATGTCCATCCTGACTCAATTTTAAATGAATCAGAGTTCCTTGGTTGGGAGTACTTTTCACATCAATAGCAACACTATGGTAGATATCACAACATACCATCCATGCTTTTCCTGGGAGCTGCTCATTATTCTTTACATTTGTAAAAAAGGTATTTCAGCTTTTGCTGCTACAGCAGAGAAATAGCTACGTTTGTGGAGGCAGTCCAACAATACTATGAGAGGAACAGTAGCTTTCTTCAAACTATCCATTCAGTAGAACCATCAAGAACTATTCTGAAATTTTTGTGAATTACTTTTCATAAAACTTCATTTCAGGTAATCTATTTTCTCCTTCTGTATTATAATGTCTGGCTTAGTAGATTTTCTCTCATTTGCAAAGCACATTCTACAACTGAATCTCTGATAGAAATGAAGTTATTTATGTGTGGATTTAGCAAGGCATATGGTGGACTTGGATTAACTTTGCTCATCCTGCATAAGAGGTAGCAGAACCAAACTGCTACAGGTGCTCTGCACATGTGGATAAAGTCACAAAAAACTTGAAGATAAATTTTAATTACATGTTGAGATTCTATTTCTCATCTCCTTATCTCTGTAAGCATATATACCCTCTTCTCATTTAGTATTCTGTTCCAATGACTTGGTTTTTATTCTTAAGTGCTAGAGTGAGTGAGTGAGAGAGAGATCATGGTTATTCAAGTAAAGTTCTCTCTGTCCCTATCTTTTTCTGAGTTCCTTTTCTCTGCAATTCAGTGCTTCTATAAAATGTGCTAATAGAAAGTTAATAGGGCCAGCTCTGTGACTTTAATTAGTTTATTAGATTCCTTATGCTCTGCTCCTGTCTGAAACTGACCAGACCTTAATCAGTTTCACACTGAAGGCCTTTGTTATTAGATCCACAAAATTTGATCCTAAATGTATGCGTTGGTTGGAAAATGAAATTTTTATTAGTGCCATCTTTTTGAATAATTGGTAATCGAAATAGTCTCTAAATGAGACTAAAAAACATAAATTCACTGAATTGAGTATCATTGCTGCACTTCAATGGTTAGCTGGCCTTGACATTGGTATTTGAGCATAGATCTTTTTAACATTTATATTTTATTGTGTTTTACTAATCTAGGTGAAATGTTAATATATATTGCTAGTCCATGAATGATATGCCATGTCTAAATAAACAAAATATCCCCATCTAATTGTGGTCTAGATGTTCTTCTCTTTTGTAAAAAGAGACATCAGTGTGCTGAGTTACATTTCCAATTAATGTACAGAGTAAACACAGAATATCTTACATCATTCAGTGAATACTTAACCAATATTATTTGATTTCATCTAATTCAGTCAGGGTCAACCAGGAAGAAATGGCTATTCAGTAACTGTTCAATCATATATTTATGGAAAGCTTTTTTTCATTGTCTTTGTGTTAACTATGGTTGAGTAGGATATACAAATTTATCCTTTTTTCTTTTGCTGAAAATTTTCTTTATTTCATTTAGCAAATTTGTACGTAGAATCGTGTAACTAAAACTAATTGCATGCAGCAATATATGTCTTGGAGTCAGTATAACCATTATATGAATTCTGTTTATTGAGTGTAAACATTCTTAAAAGACATAATAATTTAAAACATTACTTGAAGATTCATCTTGCATATCACTGTTCTTTATTCAAACATTATTTGTTGGGAACTTCATCTGTAATTCCTAGAGCAGGCTTGTATTCTAATAGAGTTAAAATTTACTCATAATTAATAGGCCTTTTTTTAAAAAAAAAATAAAGCTTGCTACAACTGCATTTTTCTAAAAGAGGTGAAACTGAGTTTGTCTACTGCTGTAAAAACAACAAAGGATCCTGTAGCACCTTCTAGACCAGAGTTCCTCAACCTTTTGGGCACCAGGGACCAGTTATGTGGAGAGAGATTTTTCCGTGGACCGGAGAGGGCATGGTTTTGTGTGTTGCCTGCATCCCACAGATGGGGCTTGACTTGTTTGTGCGCCCCAGTTGCTGGCATACCGTGGCCTGGTACCGGTCCACAGATTGGGGACCCCTGTTCTAGATTAATTGATTTATAATGACATATTTTTGTGGTCTACAACCTACTTCATCTGTGGTCTACAAAAGCTAATGTCATCCTAATGTGAAGTCTTTTAGATCCCAGAAGATAGTTTGTTAACTTTTAATAATATGCATAATAAAGTTCTAAAAATTACTTTGTAAGTACTTCTGCTTTGTGCTAATTATTTAAATAGCCCTACATCAGTACATGCACCCAAGAAAAAATAGCACTACATTAAGAGTGTCATTAACTGTAATATTCCTTAACTAAGTGGCATCTTTTTGTCAGGGTTATGTACAAGCCTGAAAAATTTCAAACTTTAGTGTATTGCAAAGAGGCACTGCTATCAATTATGAAATAATGTATTCCTATGAAATACTATTTCCATTCATATATAAATACATTATACGAGCACATAGCACATAGCAGACCATAAATATAGATGGCCATGTTAGTTCAATATCTGATTTCTCATTGTGGTCAGCTATATGCCTTTGGGTACTCATAAGCATGTAATAGAGATAGAATTCATCCCTGCCCCAACTTCTCAAGCAAAATTTGGCAGCAAAATGATGATTTGGCCATGCGAGTTCTTCAGTTGTTTTAAAATAGTAAAATTAAAAAATGAGAGTATGTTCTCTTCATCTGAAATAAAAAAGAAAATAATAGCAATTAAGAATAATAGAAACAATGGGAAATGTGCCTGGCTGTTAATGTATTGATTCAAATCAGCAGGTCAATGAAAAAAATCAATTGAATAATAATCAAAAATGTTTATAGTATATTCACAGGCACACACATTTCTTGAACTTTTATTTTTTAATCTCAATGCTCAATTCAATTTTAGACTTCCTTCCAATTTCTGGTTTAATCTAGCACTTATTTACAGGATCTTACTTTCATTCTGCTTTCACAAAGCAGGAGGAATTAAATTAAAAGCACATCCCTTGAAATCCAAGATGCTGATACCTTTAAACAGAACACTGTTTCCTTTCACACAATCTTCATATTTTTAAAGAGGATTATTTTCTCTTCCTGCCTGTAATACATTTCAAAGCAGAACTTACATACATTTTGTTTTTCTTTATATACATCAATGACTTCTTTTTTTTTTTTTAAAAAAAAGAGCTGCCTCTTGAGTCATAGCAATGGTTCATTCTGTTTACTGCCCTTTTTGTTTGCTTCTTGGAATAAATAGAGACTATCCTCTTTTGGTCCTGAGATACTTGACTTAAAGTGAAATAGCCTACAGTTTATTATTATTATTATGGTTGGTCGCACAGTCAACCAGATGTTTAAATTGAATTTGGCATTCTTATCCACTTACCAAGTCCTTCCCAAGAACCTGGAATAGGCGATGTTATTCAATTATTTACTCGGACTTCAGTAAGGCATTTGATAAAGTAGATCACAACCTACTACTTGATAAGATAGAAAAAGTGGATTAGACAGCATCACCACCAGATGGATCCGTAGCTGGCTGACTGGCCGTACTCAGTGTGTGGTGCTCAATGGAACTGCATCTACA